GAACCTTCCGCCACAACAATCCCACCCACCTGGATAATCGACCAATCACATTCATTTTATTCACTCGTGTAAAGTCGGGCACCACTCGGGAGAATTCGGAAATGCAACGGTTGGAACAGCCGCTTCCCTACAACTTTACTTTGATGATATCTGATCCAAGCTCGTCCAAAGTCGGCACGGATCGGTTTCAAAGTGCTAGTAGAAATGGGGCAATAATTACCACACTTTGCTAATTACCTGCGGAGAGATTCAAGAGTTTCGTTCTGGGCTTTGACTCTTTTCAACATGGACTCCATTTTGTGAGGCTCTTCTCTCAGGAAGCGCACTGCCTCCACTTCCACCCTCAGCACTGAGACCATTTTGGCCCGCAGTACTGGGAACGCTCCTGGCAGACATTCAAAAAGGACAGATGGACACAAAAAAAAGACATTAAATATGAATTGGGGATAAAAACAGGACATATTATACTTGTCTTTTACTTTACAAAAAGTGTGATGTCTTTGTTGTAAATCCCAAACTCTGGTCTGTTGATCAGATGAAAACTAAGAAACCAACCAACCTCTGTGGACCGCCAGAGCATCTCCAAGCCTTCGAAGGCGAACCTCTCCCTCCTCCACATCACTGAGAGTGACGGATGGCTGAGTGACGACAGACGACAACCTTCGCAAACAATCCACATAGTCCTCCAGTTCACTGGGAGATAAAAAATGACACCAAACAGCTGAAGCAGGGAAACCAGAGTTGTAATGTCCTTTTCTGGACAGTAGATGGTGCCAGAAACAAGCTTTAGAGACCTTCACAGTCTTTTTAATGCTTTTTTTTTATCAAGTTTCAAATTGTAATGAAATGATCCTTTTTGTTTCCATATTGTTCTGACCTCAAGTTTTTATTAAACATGAAGCGACTGCCGAGTTCTGACATGATTTCTTTACAATTTAACAAGATAACCGACTCTCTATGAACTTGAAATTTAATGATTACTATTATTATGACCTTACTTGATAATTTTATTTTTAAATTTTTTTGTCGCTGTATTTATCTATCTTTTTAAAATATATTTACAATGCTACTGTCCTTTTAACTTGCTCGCACCGATACCGATACACCATAAAATGCAGTACCAACCAATAGGGCGCCGGTACCATTTTTAGAGCCAAAAGTGTTTTGTTAAAAGTAGCGCAACACTACTTTTAACAAAACGTTTTTCTGTATGATGACATTTTCCCTCTTTTTTTAGAGTCTGTGCAGCTTATTTTTGGACAGTTGTTATAAAGCTTAACTATAGTAATCATAGGAACTTGCTTTTCTATACCTGGTAGCAGCTGATTATCATCCCAACAGCTGAGGTAATACTTCTGTAACCCTAATGGGTTGAAAAGTATGGCATCATTTTTGGGCCATACTTGATGTCTAGTGTTTAA